TCTATAGCTTTTCTTCTTCCTTCCTAATTACAACCCTTAAATAGAATTCGTGCCTCATATCGAATTTACCGAGTATCATAATTCCTCCAGGTGGTAAAGATACCTCGAGACAAGTGCTGGGCATAGAAGCCACAGGGCATAAATCTGCAAAGAAGTAAAAAGCTAACCTTTTCAAACAATATGGCTTCTCTCTCACTTACCAACTTTACATTTCCCTGTATGGCCCCGGAAGATGACTGGTTAGCCAGAGACGGGTAAGATTCCTCAAGGGAGGAACAACCTAAGACAGGCACAGTCGCAGGGGGGCCATCAGGTGAGAAATTGTGGATCAACAGAGGTGAGGCTTAGAACCTCACCCCCTCCTGTTTTGAGAGAAATCTTCTGCATCCATGGATGTTTTGTTGCCCTTGTCTAGCTTGGATTAATACTTAGTCTATAGGCACACACTTGATCATCTACATTTGCCCTCTTACAGCACTAAACTATGTTTTATTATGTTTTCTACCTTTATCTTGCATCTACCTACCACTTCAGCATTTTAATAATACTATTACTACTACTACTACTAATAATAATAATGGAGAAATGTGGGCTTCACATATAAATCCAGTGTAAAAATCAAATGAATAATCATAATTGACCAGATTGTTTATAGTTCATGATGCGTGATCAAAACTGAAAGTTTCTGTGATGACTGCCCTTGCACTGTTCACCATGTAAGAACTTATTCGCTATGTAAGAACTTGTTCACCATGTAAAAACTTGTTCGTTATGCTTCAGAAGATTGGAGACTGTTTAGAATTAGGCTTGGGGTTGATTAATGATTGTGCATTGAGTCCCCTATACAGAATTTTATTGTTGTTAACAACCATATGATCAATAAATATGAGAGATGCCCTCTCAAAAAAAAAAAAAACTTTGATGAGACACATTAATAATTTAAATACTCTATCTCATATAATTAGGTAAATGTGGCTAGCCATAAAATGATAAGAGAACACACATGTTTGTCAAATCTCTGGGCATGGTGTACTTTTTAAACTAAAAAGCAATGAGTGACATCACCCACCTACCCTCTACACACAAAAACCCTACCTAATAAATACATTCAAGTGTACAAATAAATAAATTTTTCAAAAAATAAAAAATACCAGAATAAAAAAAATTAAAATTGATATATTCCCAGGAAAAAAAGATATAGGATGAATAAGTACGTTGAAACCCCACCCACTAAAATAAATTCTAAAACCTCATTTGATGAGTGGACAAAGGGTAGGCTCACTCAATTTACAGTTGTAGTTGACTAACAAACAGATGAGAAACTAGTCCACTCTCTCTAATAATAAAAGAAAAGCAAATTTAAAAATAAAGATAACCATTTTGGTAAATCAAATTGGGCAGTACTCTAAATAAATGAAAGCATTCAATGTTGGTATATCTCCATTGTCTATAGATACTGAGAGTCCAGTTCAGTATAGTCACCCTCTTGAAAATAATCCAAATGCTGGAAAAATCGTTTTGCACAAGAATAGCTCTAACAGTATTTTGGAGACCATCAAAATATCCAACAATAAGGGAGTTATTAAGTTAAACCATGATATATGCATTCAGAACAGTATTATTAAACTAACTACATTTATGAATAGTTCTTTTTTTAATGGAGAATGTATGTGTTATGTTAGGAAACTGAACACATACCATATGTAATTTTTTAAATACATGTGTAAATATTGAAAGGAAACTAATACATATTAAAATGTTTCTTTCCAGCTTTATTGAGACATTGTTGACCTAAGTTGAAAGTGTACAATGTAATGATTTGATACATGTATATACTGCAAAATCATTACTACAATAACGTTAGTTAACACTCCCCCCAAAAAAATAATAATGATAAGGGAAGGTTAAGGGTAAAAAGGCACTCGTACCAAGCTTTATTCTCAGGCAGCAGGTTGAGCGGTAGACCCCTGTCCACCTGTCTCAGTCTGTGGCCCTCCCGTCTTTGCCCCAGGTTTTTTTGCCACTCCATCCTGCTTGTCAACACCAGGCTCCATGCCTTCCCTCTGGGCTTGCTAGCACAGGCTAGCACAGGGTTCCATGGCTTCCCTCTGCCAGCCTCCACTCTCTCTTGCTTCCCAGAATGGGGCTCCCCTACTTCTGCTTCCTGTTCCCCTTGGACCCTCCCCTAGCCCTTCCCCTAACCCTTTCCCTAGTCAATACTTCCATGACTGACAGTTTTCTCCAGGCAGGTAAACAGTTCACTGCCCCCAGGCATGGAAGCTGGCTAAGTATATATACAATGGACTATTAGAATCAGGCCAGAATCCTGGCCATAAAATTTCCATTTTCCCGATAATGAGTCAAATGCTCCAAAAACATAATAAGGATAAAGTAGTTGGTATCAAAGAAAGCCTACTACTAGAACAAAATCTAAAGGGAAGTTATAAGCAGGGTCTAGAAAAACAAATCCATAGATGGTACATAATCTTATAAAATAACAAAGTCAGCTTTATTGTTTCAGAAATCATGGTAGTTGTCTCTTCCATTCTGGCAACACAATGTTAATTGATGTCTTTATCTTGGGTGAATCTTAACCCTTCAGTGATAGTCATTTTTCAGTTTGCCAAAGGCAGGAAGAAGTCTTGAGTCAGATAACAAAAATCATTTTTTTCAAAGAGAGCTAAAAAAATTTCTTAATTCTCAATTGTTCTGGTAAAAAAGTATTCAAAATAAGAAACACCAGAAAGTAGAAATACCTTAACCTTATAGCTCATATAAATGATATGTTAGTGTTGGTTCACAAAAGCAGATGCTTAGACAGAAATTAAGTGCAAGTGGTTAATTGGAAAGTGATCCCAATTAAAAAGGTATAGGAATGGGCAAAGGAAAAAGAGAAAGAAGAGCATCCGTAAATAATGTTGGTTGCTAATGTGGCAACTGGGGCTCAGGTCCTGTAGGAACCTCTCTGCGGGCCATGTAGAAAGCCATTTCAGAATTTGCCTACTGAGGTGCTTAGACATTTATTCAGCAACTCCCATTCCTCTTTGATTTCTCCTTCTCATATCAGTCTTCACCTCCTGGGTAGAAGAATTCAGAATTTAGCATGTTTGTATGTGCTCTGGTAGGTTGAAGGGATATGAGAAAGTCACTGATAGTTTCTGCTACACATAAACTTAATTCATTATGGTTAAGATAGACTTGTTCTAGAGGTATATACATCCTTTATAATATAATAGAGTGTTCCATTTTGACTATGAATATATGTCTTCTCTTCACACAGGTCTTGGCACGTACTAAATATTTTTAGATAGCTCTTAGGTGAATAGTGCATCTTTTGATGAAGAGCAAGACTTGAATGAAGACTTCCACAAGAAATAGAAAAAGAAATGAACTTCTGCATTTTAAATAAAAGCCAAAAAAACATATCCAAAAAATATATCCAGAGAGTGCCCTTTGCAATCCTCAAGAGTCCAGAAAGATGCCACATGCTGAAGAGCTCAAAGGAAGCACACAAAATGTTGAATTCTATAAAAAACAACAGACAAACCTGCTGCAACTAGATAATACAGCAGAAGTAAATTTTGCATGTTGTAGAAGAGGAAAAAAGACAAAATTAAACTATTTTTTTGTGTACTTAAGGTTCTTAAAGTTCATCTTGGGGTGAGCAAAGTGGAATAAGCTCAGCTATAACATAAAACACACCATTGTATAAACAAATAACATCCTCTTCAGATACTTATACTTTGAAAGAATATATGCCCATAATGCCGAGGCTTTTTTAAGACTGAGTTAAAGTGTGCTCACTCTCTCCCTCTCTGTCTCATCAATCAAAGGAACCTGGTTTCATAATCAAAAAGTACTAATTTCTCTTGGTTTTAAAAGAAGTGTCCCTATGTTCACTACAAATCACCAAGATGCTCAATTTTAACACACTGTACATGTTAAATGTATGTATTAAAAGTAAGGAGTACAACATCCCTAACAGACTTCATTACAATTTTTGGAAAGTTGTACATAAAATGGGAATCTAAATTCTAATCTAAACCACTAAAAACCTAAACAGTACAATAAATGAATGGAACTGTGTTTTCTAACCCCATGTGCATTATGAAACCACCAAACTAAGAATTCCTTCCCTCCAAATAAGCAGATTGCTGAGAAATCTCTTCTTCTCGTGAAAACTTATGAAAGAGCAGAATACAACCGGATTCTCATTTTGTGTCAGATGATGATCTCGTTTTGATGACAGATGATGATAGATAGATACTAACAGCTAGATACATAGATAGGCAGATACATACATACATAGATATATACATAGATATATACATATAGATACATAGATAGATACATAGACAGATGGTAGATAGATAAGAAGCTCCCTCAGCTTAAAAAGTGGCCATCTTTGAGAATGCAAATTGATGCAATAGAAAAACACATGCACAAGCTTATTCACTGCAACACTGTTTAACAATATGAAATACTGGAAACAACCTGTATGTTCATTCATAGGTGAGTGAATAAAGAGGTTGTTACTTTTTGAATCCCGAACACTCCCTTAACTTTGCTTTGCTTTTCATCCCATCTACCACCATATTTCTTCTGGAAATATCTGTCTGTATTTGCTGTCTCAAATTATTATCCTTCCACCTTATTTTTTTATTTTTATTTATCTTTTTTCCCACGCAAGAGATTTTATTATCTGAAAGAGAAAATGGCTGCCCCCGTAGAGCGGGAGCAGCAGCTTGTGGGTGAGGAAGCATGTTTTTTAGGAGTAGGGGTAGAGTGTGTTCTGCATTAGTGATTGGATTTTAAGGGGTGGGCAACCATCTGGTTGGTCATGACTGTATATTAAGGGGTGGGGGTCTTAGCCCGCCAGAATTTGCCTTCATTCCCATCTTTTTCTTTTCTTAATTGGGCCTCTGGGGAACTGGGCATAGAATCTCATTCTCTAGCTACTTCCTGCTGGAAGGGGGTGCAGATTCTGGCCATACAGTGAGGCCATTGCTGTAGAGTTGGGGAAGGGCGGGCATCTTGAGATGATTCGTGATGTCATCTAGCTGGTTGCGTTATTCTTCATGAGAAGGCCTTGATGGCCCTGGAGGAGTAACAAATTGAAGGCCGGTGTTGGGCGAGAAGACGAGCGACCAGGGAAGTGGACGGTGAGGCCATGGAGGAGGGTCAGGCAGTGAGGGTTCCCAAAGCAGCTCAGATTCCCAGAAAGACTCAGGAGACACGGGCCCACGCAAGAGATTTTATTATCTGAAAGAGAAAATGGCTGCCCCCAAGGAGAGGGAGCAGCCCCTTCCATCTTCTTTTAAAACTATTCCAATCAAACATTCTACCCAACTGGCCATGGAAATTCAATTCAAAGTCCCCAGTGGTCCCCAGATAGCTAATTATCAGTTCTCAGGTCCCTTCTAACCTGACCCAGGGGCATCATTTGATAGAGCCAATTACTCCTCTTACAAACACTTTATTCATTTTGATTACAGTTTATCATACTCCCCTGATATCCCTCCTACCTCATGAGATGTTCCTTCTCTGTATCTATCGTGCCTTCATCCTCTTCTCTCCCACTTCTTTATGTTGGATGGCCCCTAGGCTCAGTTCTTGGAGCTCTGATATATCTACATTCACTCCCTTGTGATTTCATCCAGTTTTATGGCTTCAAATACTATTTATACTCTAACAACTCCTCTGCTAGTCATCTTCTGTTTGCCCCTCTAAATTCACTCTACTCTTCATGCCTTCTTTTTGCCATAGAAGGAGCATATTTCCTGCTAACCCTCCTCAGGCAATCATCCTCATAAAACTCATTCTCCAGCTTCCATTAACCACTCCTTTCCCTGGTACCGTTAGCTCAGGGTTAGCAAAGCCTCTCTGTTGCTACTAGCTTCAGGGTGCTGCACCACACATTGCGTTTTCTCTAAATTATGTAAATATTTTCTTTATTATATTTTTCTCCATTACCCAGCCTAAATATGGCATCTATCTAAAGCATAATAATAAAGTTCACATCTTGAAATGAAAGATGTAGGAAGTGAGATATAAATCTTGCACCATCATCACTAGTGGCCACATGTGTACCTAAGACAGCGGTTGGAGGCATCTGATGCAGGGGGTATACATCGATGATGCAGGACTCCCAGAATCAAATATTCAAAAATCACATCTATTCAGGGACATGTGACATAAGCAGGAACGAATGCTTTGGTAGGACCTGGAAAATATATTTAAATCTCCAAATATATCAGACTAGTTAAATATCAGAAGAAAGACACTGAGATACTAGAGGTGAAATCCATATCTGTAGAAATTAATAAATAATAAGACAGAAGTAATGATCTAATCCTCATGATGCCAAAGGATGAGCATCCCAAACATTCTACTTGAGTAAGGTAGGCTGACCTAAAATGTGCTACTTTGGCATGTGGATTATTTTGAATTAAGAGTTACCTAAGAAACAGCCAGTGCAAGAATACACTGATCCCTTTTTGTCCTCCTAAAAACAGGAAGCAAATCTTGGGAAAGGTACCCTCCCTGTACCAGAAGAAACACAGTTTTCTTTGTCCTGTCTATTTCTTACACATTTATTATGTCCTTGTCTAAAAAGTAAAACTGCCTGCCTTGGTCATTTTCCTTAGGTCTCAATTTCATTATTTGGATCCTGGGTGCACATAACTAAACTTTGGGGATTTTTTTTCCTGTTAATCTGTCTCATGTCAATTTAATTCTTAGACCAGCTAGAAGAACCTTAAAGGGTAGAGGAAAATATTTCTCCCCAATGGTAACTCTGTCATGATACTTGCTACATTTCTGTATGGTTGTCAGAGAATTTCATCTTTATTCTTTTCAAATACAATTAATTTGAAGACTCCTTAAATCACAGGGCTCCCTCCTCAATCTGCAACTATATGGAAAAAATGCAGAAGGCATAATATTTGATGTTTTGTCATCACTTAACAACAAACTTTCCACTTAAAATCCACCCATCCCCCCAGCACCCTGGAAAACATACATTTAGCAGCACAACATAACATCAGTTATGGAAGAATAACAGCCTAGTAAAGAATTAACATTTTTTAATTGGCAAAGTGCAAGTCAAGCTGGCTTAAACAGTAATGGGCAAATTTAATTCACATAAATAAAATTCCAGTAGCAGAACTGGATTCAGGCTAGTCATGATCTAGTCACTTGATATTACCATAAAAGCAATTTCTATTTCACTCTCCACTGTGCTCTCACTGGCGTTCTTAATCCTTAAACCACACCTGCCTCCTCTCCTCCACTAACGCAAACTTCAGTTATCCCCTTGTGATGGAGAATGGCTGCCCTTGTTTCAGCCCTCACATACTAACACTTCACCATCCAGGGAAACAGAGTCTCTTTCTCCTCTGATACAAGGTCCTGGAAATCACTGCTTCTCAACATAAATGTGTCATGTATTCCACCCTAGCCCAACCACTGTGCCTAAGGAAATGGGGCCTAAAAACAGGGTAAAGCCAACAGAGATCCACACTTGAATCAACCCACAAAAGTGAAAATGACAGGTAATATGAGCTCTTCAAAGGATGATTAGGGAACATCTGGTGAGAAAGAAAGGAATGAGTACAGGGAGAGAATAAATTTCTCCTACAAAGATAGGAAAGAAAAATACTTCCCTTCTACCCTTCTAAATTCTCAGATGGGGCCCCTGTGATAAAAGACAGATTAACAAGAGGAAAACAAACAGATGTTTATCATCATGCACACCTCATATGTACATGGGAGAAACCAGGGAATAAATAGTTCAAAGAGGTGGCTTAGTATTTCAACAAAGAGCAATACATTTGTAGAGAAATGATAGGAAAAAGGAATGTGGCTTTAGGCTTCCAAGGGTGGCAAACTGTGGGAAGGTAAATAAATGAGGAAAAGAATGGAGTAAAGGTTTGTTTGCAGATTCACTGGTGCCAGCTCTGGACTGATAAGACTTGACTGTTGTCCTGCTTTTAGGCAAAAATGGGGATGGTATAGATAGTTCTTCCTGCATTTGCTGCTGCTTAACTGTCCTCATCTCAATATAATTTTTATGGCAAAAAGGCATATTTTAGGATAACGTATTCTGGTTCCTTCCAAGTTGTAAGTGGAGGAATTAGTTATTACCAGAGTAATCATTTAGCTTATTGCCCAAACCCGAGTACTTCTGAGAATGAAAGTAAATGTTACCAATAATTGGCTAGCACAGCAGTTATAAACCAGGACAGTCCCAGACAAACTGGGAAACATGCTACCTTTGGAACTCTCTAATTGATGAAATCTCTTCTTTGATGCTTCATAAGCACTTAAAATTGGAGAATTCCAGGAGGATGGCAGCATAGAGAGAGCTTAAACCTGCATCTTTCTACCTTCACACCAAATCTACACCTACACATAGAGCAATTCATCTTGAGAAAAAATTGGGAACTGAGTGAGCATCTTCTGCATAAAAATAGATAGAAAGATCACATTAAGAAACATCAGGAGAGATGGAGACACAATAATGGAGGGACTACCATGCGCAACTCAGTGACCCACAGAAGGGAGGGTTACTACTGGGCAATGTGGACACAGATTCCCTGCTCTGGGGCATAGAAAAAAAGCTGCACTTCGAA